ACTGACGATATGACGTCATTGAGTAGAACTGCAGGAGCGTTTCTATATTGCTGCTGTTACTTTCAGGCTGGAATAACGGAACGACGACACAGTACTGCCAGTACTGCCAGTGAATGTCGAAACGCACCAGTATAAAAAAGAAATATAACCTATCTTAACCTATCTTAGACACGACGTGACACGATAGGAGCACCTATTCTAAATATATAAAAAAGAATCTTGTACTTAAACAATAATGTTGCAAAAGTCATGTCTATAAAATAAATAACAGTTTTCAGATTTATAAAAATATCGAAATTATTTATTATTATATTAATTATATTAATTTAGTAGTAGTAGTAGTAATCTTTTCGGGTTTTTTCCGCATTTTCGTAATTAACAATTACCGTATATTTCTCGTTGTTGCCTTCCAGGTTCACAAAGACCAAAACCTATGTGAACCTGGCACCCGACTTCCGAAAAATTAATTTTTTTACAGAAAACGTTAGCATTTGGTTTGTAGATGTTTCTAGTAACAAAAATTTCGTTTGTAGTTTAATACATTAAAAATGATAAAAATTAAAAAAATTACTCGCACTCCACTTTGAGATATCTCAAATCCGTTTGCGCCATCTTCTTTAGAATCATTTGTAGTTGTTTGTACTGCTTTTCTTTTTGTTTATAGTTGCACCATTCAAAAGTTATTATATTTTTGTAATAAACAAAAAGTGTAACTTTGCCAATTTTGGAGATATCTCAAATCCGCTTTCGCCATCTTCTTCAGAATCATTTGTAGTTGTTTGTTGTGCTTTCTTTTTTTTGTTTGTATTTGCACCGTTCTATATATATCTAGTTATGATATTTTTGCAATATACCAGAAGTGTAACTTTGCCAATTTTGGAAATATTTTAAAACTAATTGCGCGACTCGATGTAGAATTGTTTGTAGTTGTTTGGAATAGTTTTCATTCTGTTTCGTTTAAAATATCTCCAAAATTGTCTCTCAAAATTATCTCTTTTTGTTTATTGCAAAAATATAATAACTTTTGAACAGTGCAACTATAAACGAAAAGAAAAGCACTACAAACAACTACAAACGATTCCGAAGAAGATGGCGCAAGCGGATTTGAGATATCTTCAAAGTTGGCAAAGTTGCACTTTTTGTTTATTGCAAAAATATAATAACTTTTGACTGGTGCAATTATAAACAAAAAGAAAAGCACTACAAATGATTCTGAAGAAGATGGCGCAAGCGGATTTGAGATATCTCCAAAATTGGCAAAGTTATTCTTTTTGTTTATTGCAAAAATATAATTAATTTTGAATGGTGCAACTGTAAACCAAAAAAAAAGCACTACAAACAACTACAAATGATTCTAAAGAAGATGGCGCAAACGGATTTGAGATATCTCAAAGTGGGGTGCGAGTAATTTTTTAAATTTTTATTATTTTTAATGTATTAAACTACAAACGAAATTTTTGTTACTACAAACAACTATAAACAAAATGCTAACGTTTTCTGTACAAAAATTAATTTTTCGGAAGTCGGGTGCCAGGTTCACATAGGTTTGGTCCTTGTGGACCTGGAAGGCAACAACGAGAAATATATAGTAATCGTTAGTTACGAAGATGCGGAAAAAGTCTGAAAAGATTACTACTACTACTACTAAATTAAAATAATTAATATAATAATAAATAATTTCGATATTTTTATAAATCTGAAAACTGTTATTTATTTTATAGACATGACTTTTGTAACATTATTGTTTAAGTACAAGATTCTTTTTTATATATTTAGAATAGGTGCTCCTATCGTCGTGTCACGTCGT